AAATAAGTAAAAACCATTCTTATCTCATGCACTGAACAAAAACAGGTTGTAGGTTGGATTTGGTTCATGAACTATAGTTTATTTACCCATGACCTAAAAAATTACAGTTAGTCATATTTTTTGAAGACCTCTATATATCAGTGCTTATCTCAAACCCCATCACCAAGTTTGTTATATAAAAAATTGTATGGTTTTCTCCTTCTACCAGCTTGCTTTATGTATGGGTGCATACTTATTCAAACCATATTTTATATAAACTTATTGATGTTTCTTAAGATATGTTAAACATGTTTTTTGAACATTGGCTATCTTAAAAAAACCGTGTTGAACCTCAGGATTCCAGTCCCTAAAATACGAGCATCTGCCACGAACTTGAAATGTAAATAGCTCAAAAATTGTAAACATGCTTATTTAAATTATCATTTGTACATAGTGGTACTTATTTATTAGGAATATGAAGGCATTGTTAAGGATAATCTTGAACCAAGAGAATGTGGAAGGTGTGTCAAAAGTGTCCAGGTCCCCAGTTAGCATAAAAGCATGGCCTGCCGAACTAGCGCCCAGGTACCCATCTCTCTGGCTCCCTGTGAACCGAGTGCTGAGCTGGCTGTTGCCCATGACATGCTAGTCATAGATGACTCCCACCTTTTGTGCAATGGGGGCAAAAACCACAGCCAAAGCAGAGAGGGCTGCTGGCTTCCGCTCCTTACTTTTAGCTCACAGAGCCATTTATTTCAGGTTATTGAAGGAAAATCAATGTGACCATGTGCAGCGCAGCTCTAAGTGCCTGGTTTTATCAGTCACCTCCACTCTGTGACATTCTTGAACTGTGTCTTTACTGTAACCCAAGCCTCACACTCAAATGCAGCATCAAGTTATGCAGTGCCTGGCAATTGTCACGGCTGTTATAAATGAAGTGTTGACTCAACCCAGCCCAGGAACTGCCCCGGAGAGTTAATGGTCCCAGAGATGGGACGGGACATTTTCAGTTGTTTACATTAGCAGTTGGTCTGGAACTTTAGTCAGAGTTGATCCTTGCTTCCTAAAGGGGAAAATTTGTCATTTATTTGTACCCTTTCTCTCTCTGTGTTTCTGATTCTCTCCCTTGCTTTCACACATATACAAACACATGTCCACACACCTCGTTAGTCTAAATACAAAAGGATCTAATTTTACCTCCAAGCAGGACGTCTTTTGTATATATACAGAAGTTTCAGGTGTAGAACAGTATAATTCAGCATTTGTATACATTACTAAGTGATCACCTTTGAAAGTCTAGTCTCCATCCACCACTGTATGATTCACCCTCTTCACACCTACCAGAATTGTGGGGTCTTTCTCCAGTTGTTGCTGAGATCCTGTTATGAAAATAAGAAATGTTTATCCTCACTCATTAGTTGTATTAGAATGAATCACTGATGTTCAGGCAGTGAGTCTCAGATAAGAGACATTAATCTGGTTTGATGCATGGAACTGGTAAAAATGGCCGTCAGGTAAGCATGTAAGGGAAACATCATGGACATAGCCTGTGGACAAGTCTCCAGTGCAGTTTTCAAATGGGGTCCCATCACTCATTCCAAATTTTTATTGACCAATGGTGAATATGATGATAAACATTTTTCATTTTCTACAAATGGTAGATACCAGACATTCGAATAACAATGCCTGAAAACACAGCCTCGTACATTAAGGATTTACTGCTCTTCTTTTTCATGATAACTTAAAATTTATATTAAGTTGATTTATATATCACAGGAATCAGAAAAGCAATACACTTTAGTGGTTGATTTTGCAGCATTTTATAAATTCTAATAAATTATGTTTTAAAATTCTAGCTGAGACCTAAGTAGATTGAGGGGTATAGTACATTGCACCCCCCTTTGTTCCCATATTCATGGCAAGGCCAGGGAATTATTGTAGAATAATTGATAACAGTTCACATCAAGATGAATACTTTCTTGCACTGGTGTTGTCTCTCTATGCTAACTGTTTGAAGTTATTTGACCTGGTTTGCATTCATTTTGAGGAGAAATTTGGAAGTCACTTTGCACATCTTCATCTTATCTCTCCTCCCTTCAGCAGTTTGACTAACATTCCCCTTGTGTTTCTACAAGTTCCTAAACCTTTTCTGCCCTTTGCTTCTCTCTTTGCTTTTATCTTCTTTAGTGGGTGGGGCTCAGTATGAAATACTCTGTGAGCTGGGGTTCATTGTGTGACTGTGCAAGTTCAGGTGCCCCATGTTAGGTCTGAAAAAGATATACACATCAGTGACTTTTTTCCTTCAAACCAGAAGACTAATTGCAAGGATTCCAGTAACTAATTTTGAAATGTATAGAACCAACTCAGTAAACATTTTTTGAAAACTTAAGTTTGAGGCCTATCCTGTACTTCCTTTTGCTTAAGTACATTTATGAGAACATGTTCACATAAGAATAGTTTTTTTCTTCGTGTGTGGACCTTTTTTAAAATAAGACACTTGATATCATCCTTTTTCCTGAATGAGGACTTGATTGTATAGATTCTGAGACTTGGTTATTTAAATATTGAATACCAATTTTCCGAATATTTGGTGAAACATGGCAAGTTATTTTAACAAAATCTGTGTGGAGTTGTCTGTCACTACTTTGCTCTATTTTAGTATTAAATGGATGTGACCTTTCTGCTGTCCCCACCATAGCTTTTCACTGTCTGTCATCTGCACTCTCTGCCTGTCTTTCCAACTAGCAGCCAGACTCTTCTTTGCTGATCAGTTTATTACTCTGGGAACTCTGACAGTCGCACTTAAATATTTAACAGTTCCCTTTCCTGTGTTAAAAAGCCATAAAATCTCATGTGAAATGGCTAAGGGAACATATATAGGTGGAAGAGAGGCTTCTGCTCCTGTAGGAATTTTGTAAAGGGGACTATTTTTCTTATATGATATAAATGAAATCTTCACTCTGCCCACTTTTACACCTACGCCTGTACTGAGCGTCTCCAAGGAGACAAGGAAGCCCGAGTCCAGTGATGGTGAATTCTCCTCGGCGATAGCAGGCTGGAGTCTCAAGCATCCAGAAGCCCCTCACAGACAAGGCTCTGTCCCCAAGGCTCATCCAGGCAGGCTTTATCCAACCAACATGTCTCTCTCCCTTTCCAGATGAAATAGCCTGAATGTTACATCTCACGGGCTGATTGTGGTGAGTTCAGTAGGCAGAGGCCTCCGCAGGACAGGAGGGGTGGGTGTGGTAGGGAGCTGGACAGGAGGTTTCCATCTTTCCCAAAACCTTTTCTTTGTCACCCACTTATCATCTGTGCTTCAGCTCCATTGCCTCCCTCTGTGCCTCCCAGACACAAAGGCACCACTCAACCTTACAAAGTGCCTTAATATTCTTTGTTACAATACCATAGTTATCAGCTTAATTTAGTGAGGCTGTCCTTTTAGGAGAAGTACTGCTTTTGCTGATTCAGCAATTTCATGTATCCACTCATGAACAATAATCGTCTTGAGCACTCTATTTCCCCCTCCAGAGTTCAGTGCACAGGAACCCCCCTGCCATCTTACCTCTCTCCCACTCCACCAAGTCACTGTGAGCTTTCTTAAAACAAATAACATTATTTTCTTATATAATTCCATTATGCACATTTTCTAAGACTATAGTCTCAGATCCTTCAATTTGTTGACCACATACATCTATGTGTGCATCTTCTTTGAGGCAAAAATAATTAGTTACCTTTTAGGAATTCTTATTGGTGTAATCAGTGAGAAACCTTATTTGTCTCTAAACTTAAGCACATTATTTAATGATCATTCTTGACACATCTTCTATGTACACATTCATGGTTTTCAGCTGAATTGACTGAAATTAAGATAATAATCGCTTCTCATGATTTTCTAGCACAGTGTCTGCATACTTCAGTTTTCTGCTCCTGATGCTGCTGCTCTCCTTGGGAAGGTGTGGCTTGCTATTATTCCCATTAAATTCTTTGATAACAAATGTCCCCATGAGGGTTTATTAATGACACATTTTTTCTTTTTTATTTGAACCTTTAAAAAAGATTGATCTTAATGTTCAGAGAATATAGTCAATACTATTGTAATAGCATTGTACAGTGACAGATGGTGACTAGACATATTATGGTACTCATATTGTAAAGTATATAAATGTAGAACCACTACATGTACACGTGAAGTTAATATAATATTGTATGTCAACTATGCTTTAATTAAAAACAAAAAAGATTGGAAAGTCATACATTCTGTATTTTAGAGGACTCTCTTATTTTCCTTTTGCCTTATCTCGGATTCATATCACCTCTCCAATTACTGCCTTTAAATAAAAACCATCCTATGGCATAAGCTGGAAAGAGTCATTTAGGAGACGTTACCAGTGTTCACAGGTACATAATGCACCCTTTAAGGTGACTTAGGCGTCAGATTTGAAAAAAAGTTTTTTTTCTTACAGTCCATCCAGGTCACCATTGGTATAGCTCACCTGTTTACATCTTTCTTCCCAGGTAACTTTATCCATAGTATGCTCACCACTTAGCTCTTCCTCTTTTTTTTTTTTTTGAACTTTGATTAGGTGAAATCATTCCTTTCTACCTGAGTCCCAAGTTCCCCCAAGAAGAACTGGAGGAGCATGCAGGTGCCTCTGACAATAGCCCTTGATTTGTCTTCTCAGTTTCTGCCTTTGCTCAGGTGTTTCCCCGATTCCTTTTGCTGTCTTTCCTCAAAGTTCCAGTCATTCATAGTCCAAATTTGTTAGTTCAGTTTTTAGTAGGAATAAAGCATGTGCTTGGATGGATTGCTATGCCTAAAGAACTGTATGAAACTGACTAAATCCAAGAAATGTAAACAAATTCTGGAAAGTGTTCCATCTTAGACTGGTGGAAAGTTTTGGTTGCTGTTTCATTTGCTTGGAAATGGGAAGTCAGGATCCTGTTCTTAAGTGTACTTCCTGGAATCCTGTTGTGGAAGCGGCTCTAAACCTGTGTGGTAATGGAAACGTTTTTCTTTGTAGGCTCTTCAAGTGGCAAGACAGCTCCTTCTTCAGCAGCAACAACAGCAGCAGCAGCAAGTTAGTGGATTAAAATCTCCCAAGAGGAATGACAAACAGCCAGCCCTTCAGGTAACAATTCTTTTAAAAATAAGTGACATTATAAACTTTGGGATAGCTAATAGGCAATTCAGAAGAGGATTGTGGTGAGAATTACAAATCATGTAAGAGAATCTCTTGCAGAAGATGTCCTTTTTTGTTTACCAGTGGGGTATGACATTTTAGGAAAAATGTCTGTTATACCCGAATGTGTTGTTTTTGGGGATGAAAGATCTACTAATTAGTCAGGGTAATAGGAGGATGAATAGTCACAGGTGTGGATTGCTTGGTTAGATGCAGCTTACCACTGAGGAAGCGTTCACAGTGCTCACATGTGTCACCCATTCTCTGTTGATGGAATTAGAGATTCTCTCATGATGGCATGCACATACACTTTACTTTAGTGCTATAGGGGAGATTTTGCCCCAGGGGACAATGGGTGATATCCATTGTCCAGGAGACATTTTTGGTTGTCATAACTTGGTTGGGGGGGGGTGCATTGGTGTTACTAACAACTTAGTAGGCAGTGGCAAGAGATCCTGCTAAACATCCTATATTGCACAGAAAAGTGCCCCACAGCACAGAACTATTCAGTCCAAAATGTCAACAGTGTCAAGAACTGTCACTGGGACTGAAAAGGATATGGTATTTTTAATATACCTGGTCATGAATGTAATACACACTCTTTTCTTCAGTGACTGTTTTCAATATACTTCTGACTTATTAATAAAAAATGACAAGCAATTTTTTTTGTAAAGATACCGAGAAAGATTGTTTTAGTAACTTCTCCTTTCAGGCACATTGAGGTCAAGGGTTAACAGAGTAGAAGGAGTGAGTTTGTAAAAATCTAATTTTGATTTTCTATTGGAGTAGAAGATTGTTATAGAAACTTCAAAGAAACTTGACTCAGTATTCATACTCACATCCAGGGCAGGGCACCAGGAGGTACTAGGTGGCCCAACTGCTTTCACAGCTGAGGATGGGCGTCCCCCATATGGAATGGCTAGTATGAGTTTCTCACACTGCCCATTTTGGGACAGAATCTGTAAACTGCTGCTTATGGGCATAACTTGGTGCTAATTAATTTGATCATGAGGTAACCCAGATTCTGTACTGTGTTGATTTTTCTCTGATCTCAGAATAAACCAATACCCATTCCACAATATCTGGCAGAGATCACGTAGACCTTGGGCCACAAGTTCCAGTTCTACATCCGCTTGGAAAACTATCACTGTCGAGGGAAAGTTCCACACTATAGTAACACTTTACTGGAAGAGTTGAATGTCCATTCTTTACTCACACTTCTAAAAACATTTATTTGGTAAACCATCACGGACCCATATGCTTTTTAATGTTTATGAATGCTGGGGACACTTTTAATGAGGTGCAGTGCCAGTGAGGTCCCATGTCAGGTGCTCTAAGAAGTGCTTTGTTGTGGAGATGTCTTAAGAACAGTGCTGGAGGATTAAATATGGCTGTGTTGACCTTTCAGCTGTGAGCTTATTTGTCAGGATTCAAATAAGTTGAAAGGATCAAACTAAACAGTTTCTGTAGTCAGACTGAGAGTTGTGTTTCAGAGGTCAGCAGTGGAGGCCACATTGCAGATTCCAGAACACAGTCCATTGTTGGTACATATTAAAGTACTAGGGCATCTCCTGCAGACAGAGATACAATTAAAATTCTAATTTATTAATGTATACAGGGAGCTAGCCCAGCCTGTCAGTCAGTGGTTCCAATGACTGTCCATTCTTTTTGCCTCCCGCTTGGAGCTCCCACAGCCTTAAAGATACTGGAAGTCCTCTTGAATTTATCAGGCCTCAAGTGCATTGGAGAAATGACAATATGTTATTGGAGGGTGGAAATCTTATACAGAGTGGATCTGTATTTAGAGACTTTGGAAAAGTACACACATAGACAACCTGATGCACTGCTCTTCAGTACTGAATATCATTTGTAATTTTTTTATACTAGACTTATTTTCCCTCATACGTGCTTTAAAAAAAAATAAAGCATTTTTAGGTACCTTCTTTTCCAAGATGAATGAAGTTCCTTTAGGGCTAAATATATGAAGTAAAGTTTCAGGGTATTTCCTTATGAGGGCTCTTTTCTTCTTGCCTGTTATAATGCTTTTAGCTACTATAAGAGTATGATAGAGCTTCATTTTTCTTGGCAAGGACAGTGTCAAAACCAACCTAACACATTTTGCTGAGCACTTCAATCTGTATAAAAAGTGTGGGACAAGGGGGCCATCTTGAATGCTGATTTTGCTAAAGGAGATATTTGGCGTTCCTCCCTACCCCTTCAGTGGGAGACTTGACAAGAAGAGCATTTAGACCAGCTTTGAAATTGATTGGGAAAAAAAGAGTTGGTCGATTGATGCATGTGTGCATGTGTGTCTGGTGTGATCATGCAGATTCACTAAGCTTTATTAGGTTGGCTGGTCTTCCACAGACAGAGCAGAAATTACTAACCTAGGTCACACAGTAGGTTACATCGTTATAAAAATACGTATATAGGTTTGGTGATTCACAGAAGAAATAACCCATACACGTCAATATATTTGCCATGCTTTGTCCTCATTGAGGTATCTCAGTCAGAGTGGCTCTGGAATGAACACGAAATCCTACAGTAAATCTTAACAGTGTTCATTTCTGATCTTCTTACCCTTCATAACTACTGAGAGATCTATTTTAGCAAATTTTAGACCTTCTGCATGGAGGAAGGCTTTACATGGAAGAAGGATTTGATCTGCTGATAGCTGGAGGGAAAAGAAAGCAGCTCAAATCCCCAAATATACTGTGACTCATATTTTAAGCATATCTCACACTTCCCTGCGTTATGTTTGGCGGTGCTTGCCAGCTTCACAGGCTGGGGACACAAACAAAAGAAAATGGAAAGTTAGAGGAGACTGTCTGTGGTTATTCGATAGAGAGCACCAAATGTAGTCAAACATCACCAATCTGAACTAACTTCAGGGAAATCAGAGTAAAAAGAGAGGAATAACGTTCTTTGCAGATATTTCATATTGAACAAAATCTGAGCTGGCCGTATTCTTGAGTGACACCATGGTTTATATAAAGGATTGACTGAGTATAGATATTGCTTCTGAAGTTCTTTAAAAATATTCTACTTAGTAACCTAAATAGCCCCTTATTTAGTCTTTAATTTGCTTTGCCAATTTTTTTTATGAATGATACAAATGAAAATTGAAGATTGGCCTCATCATAAATTCGGAATTAGAATGATCTGAGTTAATCAGATGCAACTTGCTGAACAGTTCTGGAGCAGCTACATTGTGCAGGGCATCTTACTGATGCCCACAGATAATGAAACTGTGAAGGAAGGACACAGAGCCTGCCTTCAGCATGCTTATGAGTTGTAAAAAATTAACAAGGTTTTGCTGCAAAAAATAAAATTATATGTAAGTAAAAATAGCAGGCTTACTTTTATAAATATTTATATACTTCTGAGGATTGCTTGAACAAGTGAAATAAATGCTTAACAGTGCAGGTGTGCTCATAACCTCGAAAATGTGGAACTTTACTGGCTGAAGATTAATTTGTGAGTAGATGAGCAATTTTATTGATCGAAATTTGGAACTTTGACCACTGTTTCTGGGTAGTAATTCATTTTGGTTCTTTAAGCATTTTAGTTGTTGGCATGAGTACATAAACTGGAAGGAAGTCAAATGACACATTTTCTCCTAAGAAAGTAAAAGTACATGTGTATTCTGGCAGCATTGAAGTTAGGAAAGAAAGTCAACCTTGTGTGCTGCTTACAGTGGGAAGCTGACCACAGTTTCAGGCCATCAATAAAGAATTTGAATTTAAAACCAGTCATCTAATAGATTTCCTCCTGCCTATCTCCTCCCTTCCAAGGTTATATCATGTGCAAGCCTCTCACTCAGGAGACCATTCCCTGGAACAAAGGAGAATGAACCCCCCCACCCCCACCCCCCGCCGGGAAGGTCAGACTTTAGTCCAGCAGGAATCTCAGGGTTATGATGAGGCCTCCTTCTCTAAGCAGAGGAAGCTCAGATACCAGAATCAGCAGGTGTTTTTTAGCATTTTTATTTGCAGATATATAAAACACACACTAAGCAGCGTTTTTGCTTTGCATTAATGCCACATAGAATCCTAGTACCTCACATAATTTCCACTTATTCAGTAAGGAATAAATTGGTAAGAGGAAACCTTTAAAGGAAACTACAATTTTATGTTGTAGGTAGTGAAATGGAATAGTTTTGAAACACTGACCCTTAAAAAATATCCTTATTCATACTCAATTAGTGAAGTGGATGATTCGGGACAGGGAGGCAAATAATTTTGAAATGTCTGGAGTTAACATTGTCTAGGAATGGCTTCTCTGGCATAAAACTGATATAAAGTGTTGAAATTTCAGTACCTTTTAAGATTTCATTATGACCTGATTTTGGAGAATCCAAAAAACTCTAAAACATAGGTCTTGATGAAACAGTAAAGTAGAAACAATACCTTAGAAATGGTTATTAAGTCTTGCAGATTATACACATCATTAAAAATGCGATAGGAGAAGTGACCCCTCCTCCCAGAAAAGCACTCTCACACAGAAATTTTGCATCAAGTTACAAGGGTTTCATGGACCTCAAGAAGTCCATCTTGTTTGTTGCCCAGGTTAAATACTCTTGCTTTAAGAATTTTTCTTTCTAAAATGATATGTTTTACTCTTATCTCCCCCCCAAAAATATTAGTTTTGTTGTAATATAGTGAGTTAGCTCATTTTTCTAATTCAACTGCAGTTCTATTCAATACTCTGTGTCCCAGTCTGTCCAGGACAGACCTAGTCTGTTGGCTGGGTGTATTTATTAATAATTCTTACGCTCAAACATATCCCAGTTTGGACCTTTAATTATGTGGTCACCTTACTTACATGTATCTAAGCATTAAAATGCAAGTATGATGCTAATATTTTATATGTAAGCATGTATTCATCACCATAGGCAAAGATAATTAATGATTAGTAAGTGCTTAATGTAGGCCAGCCCCATAGTTACT